GGCGAAGGTAGAGTAAAAATGAAAATATTATTTCAAAATAATAATTTGTCTTTTTTACCAAATAAATTCATTAATCGAGTCTTCGTCTTAAAAAAATTAATCCTTAAACCTAATGTTGTATCCCCATAGAATTGGACTTACAGCAGTGATTTAGACCCCTCAAACTTTAACCCCTATCACCCCACACACACGTGGCAGGCAGTGATTGGAGGAGGAGAAAAAAAAAGAAAAAGGAAAAGAATAAGTGACCAATCAAAAAAGAAAGGGGGTCAAAAGGGGGTGGGGGAAAGGGGATCCCAATCTTTATTCTTGGACAGATCATTAATAAACATAATTATAAAATAATGTGATAACGAAACGGAATCATCTAACATTAATGACCATGCTAATAATTACACGTAATTCTCAATTTCACTAAAAACTTGGAACACTCTATTCATCTTCTACAAATGCCAAATACTAATAATAACAATTTTTTTCTTACAAATAATAGTTATAAAAAAGGTTCATTTATTGACGCCAAAGTGACATTACAGTAGTAGAAAAACATGAAACGACTACTATATAGACAGATTAGGAAAAGTTAGCCACATAGATAGATAGGCCCTTCTCACATAATTTCTCATAAATGGATTATGATGTGAATGGATTCATGAAATTAAGCAGTGTGTTGGTGAAGATGTATATAAAGTCCTTTTACCTTGTGGCTCAAGCTTCTTCTCTTTAATCCCATCCCATCCCATCCCATCCATTTCTTGAGAGAAAAAGGTTAGTTATTCCTGTTGTCAACAAAGGTGTAAAAAAAGTACCCAGAAAAAATTAAAAATAAAAAGTGACATGCCTATCAACCACCACGCGAATCTTAGGATAATGAATAAAAAGTTAAAGTATTGCCATTGAGATGATTTTTGATTTAAACCCATTTCAAAAACAAAAATTTGACAGACAAAGAAACATCAGAGAATGTTAACTGGGTCCCATCCAATTCAACCTTTGTGGCTGATTTGGCAAGATTTGTGACGGTAAGACACATTGCTGCCAGAGGTGCAGGGATCATTCTACACGCCCAGTGGAACCCATATAGATTAACATAATCATATAGATTTAACATAATGTTTATTTATATCGGTGAATGTTTTTTTTTTTTAATTTTTTTAATTTGAAATTAATATCAATAATATTACAAACTTGGCCTTGTGAACTTAAAATTATCTAGAAAAAGAAATTAATAGATCAAATTTATTTTATTTATGGATCTCACACACATTCTGAATAAATTATGAGTTGATAAGAGTAGGTTCATATCATTTTTGAATTAACGTACCTGATCAGAATCGGTGAAACATGAAACACAAACAATAATAGGAATAAAAAATAAAACTTACAAAAAATAAAAATAGATTGTAGTAATTAATTATATTTATATTTCACAAACTCTCAGTCATTTAAGTTCAACTTTCTTATCATGTTATTCTAAATAAATTGCAAGTGTATGCTATTCCTCTTATTAATTTAGAATTGCATTAGAGACATTATGAAAAATCTCATGCATAACTTTCTTTTTAATATCCTAAAAAACATACAAGAAAGTGAATGGTGAGATATGGTTATGTGGCAAGGGGGCCCAGTGTCCCCATGAAGAGGCCATAACTTATGGAAGTGAAATAAACAAATGGACACTCGAAAGGGGGAAGAAATTATTGGTACCAAAAAGAGGAAGATCAAGCCGTTACTCTTTCTCCAACATAAACTCACACCTAACCCAATATGGCCTCCTAAGAAATACTACCCCCAACCCTAGAATTCAACAATCATTGTATTTTTCTTCCTTGGTTAGCATACATAATTAATTTGCAGAATAATCCGTATGTCACGCGCTAATGACGTGTACCCTCAAATAGTGTGACACGTCACATCAACTACATTCCCATCGGAACGTTGATAGAGAAATGTTTAAGCATTATTATAATGTAATTTAGTTAATTAATGATTTCAAAAATAGGATATGTGTTTAAATTAGAGATTCAATACTTTATAAGATATTAGTACTATATGGATGTGTTTGTTTTGAATGATGCTGGGATTAATAGTTCATTATTTGTTTTAAAAGTTTTGCTCCGAACTAATAATCCTCCCGAACTATGAGTCCCATATTTGTGAGACTATCCTATCCCATTGGGGGGATAGAAACCATGGGATAACTCATCCCACGAGATTAGCTAATGAAATTATATTTTTGCCCTCTAGTATTTAATTATGTATTATATTTAGTAAAATTCAAAAAAAATTATATGTCTTAATTTAAAAATAAAATAATTTTCTTTAATTTTTATTTTTGTTTTATTTATTTAATTTTTTAAAATATTTTTTATAGATATTTTATTGATGTTTTATTTTAAAATTTTGTTTATATTTTATTTAATTTCATTATTTAAATTTCAATAGATGTTTTATTTTATTTCATTATTTCATTATTATTATTATTATTATTATTTAAAATAAATTTATTTAAAATTTAATTAAAAAATAACATATATTTTTATTTGTATTTAATTTTTTAAAAATAAATTTATTTAATTATGCAAAAAATAAAATAAAATAAATTTTTATTTAATCTAGCTAAAAATAATTAAAATATTAAAGTTATGTTTAATATTGCTATTACTTAGTAAATAATTGAAAATGATAAAATAGTCATTTGAGTATTTATCTTTTTTCATAATATTCTAAACAAACATTAGATTTATTAAAAATAGTCCAATCCAGACATCTAATCCTATGACTAAACAAACATAGGATACAAATCCAGTCTAATCAAATAGTTCGAGAACAATGTATGCCAGGACTAACAATCCGATGGATTACAATCTCCTCCTTATCCAGTCCGTCCAAACAAACACACCCAATATTGGGTTAATGCATCAACCAAGCCAAGGAAACTACTGGGAGACACTGGGTTTTTTTTGGTGGTTGACTTGGTTAGTGTGTCTAAGTTTCCAAATCAAAATCTCAGACTTACAAGTATTGATTTTTTATTTATTTATTTATTTTTATCTTTCAATTGGTTATCACAATTCATACATGATCATAGCAAAGCCAGTTAACCCAAATGGTTTGACTTAGTGGGAGGAAAGGGTAATTAAAGGGCTTACCACTAAAGAAGTTGCTGGTTTGAATTTCACGAAGGCTAAACATTCTAAACTTTAGAATTACTAGAGGTTTATTTAATTGTTTATTTTAGGATTCCAGGATTAGTCGAGATATGTATAATTGGTTTGAACACTCAGTTATCAAAAAAAAAATAAATAGTAAAGCCAGTTAATTAAATTGGTTAAATTATATTAGTCTCCAAAAACTGCTCAAGAAATCTCAATTCAAACTCCTTCAAGTGTGTATTGTGGACATTTACAAGTTTATAGATCCATTGTTCTCAAAGATCCCAACAGTGGGCTGTTGGGTTTCTTTTTCTTTTCTTCTTCTCCAAGCTATAGATGAAAGTGGCTTTTAAGATTCCCCCCCATAATAATCTCTCCATTTAACCCTAGCTTTCATTGACACAATATAATTGAAACCATCTAGTTCATAGCTGTGGCTTTGGTTTGTGAATCATTGATAACAGATAAGGCAGAGAATTTCTTAAGTGATGCCACATCACATACCAAACAAAAAGATGACATGTTGCACTTGGTCGAGGATTGAAGAGTTAATCTTGACATATTAGAAGTATGTGAGATCTAATTGTTCTTCTGTCTCCCTCAAAAACAAGTGAGGATTGGAGAGCTCTATTATTTCCATAGCTTGTGCTAACTCTTTTGGACCCATTCAGGTCATGAAACCCTAATTATTACCATTAGATAATTCATGTTGTGACAAAAAGGCTTTTGTCCACATTTTCGTTATTATTGAATTGCCAACAATGCTAAACAAAATTCACAAAATTCATGTGGCTATTTTCACAATTAATAATGGCTAGGATGTGGTTCATCATTAGTAGGCCCCAGATAATGGCTAATCCGTGCCCCTCCACCATTGCGTCTACAAAATTATTCGCCTATGATCAGGGTCGGACAGATACGACTTTTCTAACTGAATGATTAATATTCTGTATCAAGCTGTTTCACTTCATTTCTTTTCGTCCTAGTCTTGAGACTAGATCTCGATGGATGTGCATTTTGTCAAAAAGAATAGCCTACTGAAAGATTGGACCCACAATAAATTTTTGTTTGGGCACATGATTGGACCTACCATTAATCAACTAGCATATGGAGATGCAATATATGGCTAGGTTTTAATTACAGATAGCAAGCTAATCTATGTTACCAAATAGGTTGCTTGTTTAATCAGCACTAGAAAGCTTCTTTCTTGTTTACCACCAAAAAAAAAAAAAGAAGAAGAAGAAGAAGAAAGCTTCTTGCGTACTATTTTCTCCCGTTATATCTTCTTTCTGATTTATCAAATTTACTAGAAAATTATTGCATGTTCATTATAATTACTTGACTCTTTGGACGTATAGTGGGTTAATCTATTTTAAGCAATTGTGTATTTTTTACTTCTTTAGTGGGCCGCAACCCAATAATCACGTTAACGGCATAACCCCAACCATCTGATCAAGATAATGAATTTTTATCCCCTAAACAAAAATTAAATAAATGGTTAATTGGTAAAAGACTACATACATTGGATGAACAAAAAGTGTGCAATAAAAGTTTTCTATTTGTCTAGTTATGCTTGTTTCTATATCACCCACAAAAGGATATGAAAATGTATAAATAATTAGTGTTTTTAAATGATAAAGTAAAAAAGGAGTATTTTGGAGGTTTTCTCAAAAATATAATTTGGATTATCTCACTAAATGCATTATATGCATTCTCCCCTAATAACACCCACCCCTATTTCCCTAAAAAGATTTCTTGTGACTTTGGTTTTTCTTGAAAGTTTCCACTATAACAATAACTAACTACACAAGCATAAACTTCTAAAATATTGTGAGAAATTCTAACTGGCAAAGGTACTTATCAACCCATCTCTCTCTCTCTCTCTCTCTTTATATATATATATATACATGACTTTCTTCTCCCATATTATATTTTAACTACCAAACATAGAATCAAAAGCTTCTTTGTAGACCATCTTTGTTCCATCTCCAATCAATCCACAGCTAAAATTTGCTTTGCAGTCTCAAACTTGCAAAGTTTATTTATCATTGCTAAGCCAACCCCTTTTCCCTCCAAAAATAAGAAAAAGAATGGGTCTAAGAGACATTGGATCCTCACTGCCACCAGGGTTTAGATTCTATCCTAGTGATGAGGAGTTGGTCTGCCATTATCTCTACAAAAAGATTACGAACGAAGAAGTTCTAAAGGGTACTTTGGTGGAAATTGATTTGCATACATGTGAACCATGGCAACTTCCTGGTATATGTCTCTTTTCTTTTTTGCTTTAATTGCTATGTTTGCTTCTTTTTTTTCTTTTGTGAAATCTCCCTCTTATCCTCTACAATGACTTCCATATGTTTTCACATGACTTTCTTTCTTTCTTTAATTTTTGGGTTAACAAGGTTGATTAGATGTTCTTTTCTTTGTTGTTTTTTTCCCAGTACATGAATGAATTAAATGCAGACAGTTGGGGTAGTCTGTGCTTGTTTTTTTATTAGTGTTTTAGCAGGGTTGAAGACAAAGAGACACAGACAAATGTCTGGGTTCCTTCTTGTACAACTAGACAGACATGTAACCACATGTATAAAGTCTGTAGCAGACAAACATGTTGCAATTATGGATTTCAAAAATTGTGAGAGAGAAAGGGAAGGGGGTGGAGGGAGGGAAGGAGAAGGTGGTGTGTGGTGGTGTGAGGTGGTCTATCACGCAATAGATAAGACTCGAACTAGTAGGCCAACTCCCCCATTTTAAATAATGTCTTGACTTGGTTGATAATATATATTTTTTAATTCGATTTTGTAAGTGCTATGCTAACTTATACAGTGGTATCACAAACAATATCTTCTACTGTTTCAAAAGTGATCTCTTTCTTCTTCTTTTTCCCTTCCTTCTTAAAGCAGGGAAGGGAGTCAAAAAGGATCTTTTTTTAAAGTTGGAAGTGACACCAAAAAAACAAAAAAGGAAGAAAAAGACAGTAAAAAAGATGTTCTTACATCTTACGCTTTTGGGGTGATGCATGCATGAAATGAGAGGATTCACTTGGCAATTTCCATGTGAAATAGTTATACTTCAGGAATTCATAACCTAGATTAGAAATTCAAAAAATAATTTAATAACTTTCCTTCCCTTCAAATTAATGACTTAAAAGAATGTAGTGGGGGAAGGTAACGTTTTAGATGTGGCAAATCTCGAACACTTTATTTCTTAATAACGTATAAAACATTTGATTATGTGACAAATCTCAAACGCTTCATCTCTTAATAACATATAAAACACTTGTCCTTTTAATGAGATATATTAATTCTGATCAACTGAACTAACCTCAATTGATTTGAGGTTATAGCATTTACTTTTTATTTTAATTTTTAACATCTTTAAGAATATATTAGGATATGGAGGTGGAGAATGTGCCTCTTCTACCACTTCTTCCTGTTTTTATTGTTTTGGACGCGGGAGAAGCAGCTAGAGGTGAAACTACATTTTTACTTTAATTTTTTTGGCATTTCGAGGAATATTTCAGAACCTTTCCATAGGTTATGATGTGTGTTTTAAGGTAGCTAGCTTCAGTAAAACAAACTTTAGGATGATTGTTTGAGATGATTTAAATAAATTTATTTTTTAATTTTTTATAAAAAAATGTGTAGAAAATAAAAAGATAATGTGATCTAAAAAAAATAAAAAGATAAAAAATACACCTATATAGCACACTCCAAATAAGGCCGGGGAGCTATTGGCTGTGTTTGGTTTGGTTTTGGAAGATAAATTTTCAAAAAAAAAAAAATTGGAAAAAGAGTTTAGAATTTTTTTTGATTTGTTTTGTTGTATATTTTGGAAATAGTTTTGGAGTATAAGGGCCCGTTTGTTTTAGGAGATAGAATGGAGGGGATTGATAGTGAAGGGATTATTAGTGAGGGGATTGATAGTGAGGGGATTAATAGTGAGGGGATTGATAGTGAGGGGATTAGTAGTGAGGAATTGTTAAATTATTTTTATATAAAATAATAAAACAAATAAAAAAATATAAAAAATTAAAAATTATATTTAAAAAAAAATTTCCCATATATAAAAAATAAAAAAATTAAAAAAATTTCTAATCCCCTCACATTTTTCTAATACCATCTCTACCTCCTCCTTACCAATCCCCTCTCCAAGAGTATTAGTAATACCAAGGGATTAATAGTCCCAAGGCCTTCTCCCAAAACAAACAAGACTATTACTAATACCTTGATATTAGCAATCCCAATACCCTCTCTTTCACCCAAAACAAACGGGGCCTAAGAGTTTAGGATGATTTGATATTTTGTTGTAGTTGAGTAGATGTGTATGAGAGAAAAAATGATTGAGAATGAAAGAGAAAAGAGAAAAAACGATTGATTGATGTGTAGGAGAGAGAAAGTGATTTTAGAATTTTTTTTTACAAAATTACTAAACCAACAAAATTTTAAAATATTTTTTCTAAAATTTATTTCCCAAAAACAAGCCAAATAAGACCATTATTTTTTAAAATTTTAATCGTATTCGTCATTTTGATAAGAGCCATGCCACTTAGGCTGACAAAAACTTTCCTAATAATCTCTGTGCTTGTACATCATTTTATTTTTCAAAATTATATCCAAAAAAAAAAAATATTACTTTTCTAATTTCATTTCGAAAAATTTTACTTTTCAAATTTAACTAGAAGTGTAAAAAAAATCTTTATAAAGTCAAAAAAACTAGTCAAAACCCCAAGAAAAAATAAAAATTAACTTGACAATAAAATCCAAAATAAAATAAAAATTAAAATTAAAAACAGAATTTACTAACAACGAAAATAATAAAACCAACAAAATAATAATAATAATAAGCTGGTAGCAAGCTTTTTCGCTTAATATGGACGCACAAAACAAGGCTGTTCCTTGTATAAAGATCTGAGAAGGTTCATTTCGCTTTTTAAGTAGCCGATGTGGGATATAATTTAGAACAAAAACTAACCCCTGTTTTTAATAATGATATATAATATAATCTTATTTTTTATGTTCTTTTATCGTTTGAAAATAAATTATTTTAGTAACTTTTTACTTTTTATTAAAAGATGTGTAGAAAAATAGAGAGAGTGATGTGACAATTTTTAATAACTTTTTAATTTCTTAGCTAAAACTAAATGTAACCAAGCGAGGTAGACACGGAGTATTGTATTGAGATCATAAATTCATATAGGATCTACTCACTTGTTTTTTGAAATAAGAAAATGAAGAAATAAATAAGATTTTATGTGGCATTTTCCTATTTTTAAATATAATAATTTGTTACATTTCATAAACTATTCATTTAAGATTAAAATCATTCAAACACACATTTTTTTGAACCGCAAATGATTGAGCATTTCTCGCAATACCAACTTAGTTGGGATCGTATTGTTTTGTTTTGATACTTTTTGCACTTCCTCCATCTTTATTGATGTAATGACATATGTATATATGCTATACTTCATCAATACAGTTTCTTTTTTGTTGTTAAAAAAAAAAAATTGAGTTTTGAACGGTTGCTAACGATGTAAAAAAGTTCACAATTGTATCACCCAATTTTCAACGCGTACCATTTGATACTCCCAATAGTGTTACATTGCAACCATATACCATTACATGTCTCGATACAATGATTTAAAACTATGACCGGTGGTAGTGGCAGCCAAATGTGGTTTATGGCCAGAGGTGATGGTCGAAAGTGTTTTTTTTAGTGGGAGGTACCGGTTAGAGGTTGGCGATTATTTTGAAAACTCAACCAAATTTGATGATTATTGTTATTATTAGAAGGTTAATACACCTTTTTAATGCATATTTCACACGAAATTGATACACCTTTTACACAGATATATCAAGGTTAATAACAACTCTTAAGATGGTCTTTAGCATTTTTTCTTGAAAAAACCTAGTTAGGCAATAGTTTCCCAAGTTTTAAGGGCCTCTTTAGTGTGCTTAGCTGAAAATGCCAAACACTTTTGACATTATTAGTAGTTTTATAGATTTGGCACCAAGAAAATATGTGATTTTTATCGGGAAAAAACTAAAATTGATGCTAGAGTATATTTTAATTCAAAATTAGTACTACCTTCTTTCTTGTGCATAAAATGATTTCAAATCCATCTTCAACATTTTTAGAGGAATAGAAAAATATGGGTTGGGTTTAAACGTAAATACTATTTAATTCAAAATTGTCACTTTCTCTTTTTTTAATTATCAGCACAAGAAAAATATATTGAGGCATAAATAGTATAAGCAGGCAGTTAATATTGGTAAGTCCTAGGAGAGAGAGCTACAAAATTGTGATGTGCGTCTTCCTACAAGGTATTCTCTATCAACTTACTTTCGTGGATAATAAATAAATAAATAAATAAAGCAGTTCAATTTGTTGTATTGCACTCAATTCCAATTACTATTTCATCACTTAATCAAATTTACATAGTATTTTAAGTTGTTAAAAAAAGAAATTTCAGTACTACTCTAACCTAAAAGTTCAACTCACTTTAAAAAAAAAACCTTTAAATCACAAAACTTTATATGTGAACTGACACCAAAAATAAATCCCAACTGAACATCAATATGACTTCTTCCCAACTTTTTAATTATTCGTGTTTTTATTTGAGGTCATGTAGGCAAATATTGATCATTTGAGTGAATGAAAATTGATCAATATAATCAAAATACTTCAACCATGTTTGTAAATGCTATGTTTGTGTTGAAAACCCTAAGTTTTTTTAAATGATAGCATTGTTTTGCCTAACTGAAAAACCTACCAACATGTACATGTGTTTTTATGGCTATGAAAGAGGTGGCAAAGCTCAACTCCAACGAATGGTACTTCTTCAGCTTTCGAGACCGCAAGTATGCGACAGGGTATCGAGCCAACCGAGCCACAATCTCTGGATACTGGAAAGCCACAGGGAAGGATCGCACGGTGCGTGATCCAAGGACTCGTGCGGTGACTGGGATGAGAAAGACGCTGGTTTTCTATCGAAACAGAGCTCCAAATGGGATTAAAACTGGTTGGATCATGCACGAGTTTCGCCTGGAGAATCCACACATGCCTCCCAAGGTTTGCTTGTTCCCTCCCTTCTTAATTACCGCTCTTTCTCATTTTGCATATTGAGGAACAAAAACAATCAATTGACAGCCTTGTAATTGGTGAGAGAGGAGTCTTGAAAAGCCAATCTATATAATAGATATGTCAAATAAATATTGGCAAGAAGCTTGCATGCCTTCTGAATATTTTCATCATTGTTATGTCGCCTCGCCAACCCATAGCCACCTCAATATTTTTACAAATATAAATGGGTATAGTTTTTCATTTGCATCTTATTACATAATCACTTACACTTCATATATTTTTGTAAATTTTTTTGCCTGCCTCATAATTCTCCTTATATATAATCCTTGTGCCAACTTTTGTATTTTTGGGTATTTTTTTTTTATGAGTGTTGCTAACACGTGTCCTAGAATATAAGTAAAAGACAAAATATTTATAAAACAGAATACATGTTTCACTAATTTTAATGTATTTTTATTAAAATCAATACATTTTTTAATATTTTTATATATTTTCAAGACAATTTTTATACATTTTCCAACATTAAATAATGCCTAAGACACTTGTTAGTATTAATCATTTTTTATTTATTTGATTTTAGTAATATATATATATATATATTTTTTTTGATCAGTGATTTTAGTAATACTTTGGTATTCCAAAATTTGACAACCATATTCGGCAAGTTCCATGCTAAATGCGATGAAAACTAGATAAGCTTTAATAAATTTCTCTTTGCCGACAAAGTTATAAAATAAAATAAAAAATGTATCATCTTCATGGAGAACATTAGAAACTTTTGATTACGGAAAATTTTCCTCTCATCCAATGATTTAGTTTCTCTGGGGCTAGCTTTCTTTCCGTCTGTGAATGGATTGAAGGGTAATGTTGGGCTTGTGGGAGCCCATCACGGGTCTCGTTTCGATAATTTGAATTGTTGAATGTGTAAAACTCGTCGAATACTATATGTTTGTAAAAAATCACATTGATCGGATATCGATAGCTAGGTGATCAAATCAGTTTTGTATAATAAAAAAAAATAGACAGTGAAAAAATAAACGGTTGACAGAAATTTGATCGGTTGAGATAGCTATCGATATCCGATCAACGTGATTTTTTTACAGGCATATAGTATTCGACGAGTTCTACACATTGAACGATTCGAATTATCGAAACAGGACGCGTGGTGAGCCTCCACAAACCCAACAGTACTCTCCAATCCGATCATGGACTAAAAGGAATCCAGCTGAGTTTTTCTTTCCCCTTTCTTGTTTTTATTCGAGCAATACTACATACTAAATATTTATACGTAGACATTTAATTAAAAAATTAATTTATCTTTCCCCTTTCTTGTTTTTATTCGAGCAATACTACATACTAAATATTTATACGTAGACATTTAATTAAAAAATTAATTTATGATTCATATTCATTCTAATTGTAAATGTCACCATATAAAAACTTAATTTGGACCACAAATAATTATTATTTGGATAAATTTTACACAACATCCATTTTTTTATTTTATTTTTTATGGGAAATAGGTAGAAGCCAAATCACTCGAATTCCTTTGGTTTTTTTTGGGTAGGAACATGATATTTTGTCCCCAAAATTTCTCTCCCTAATGTACTTTCAACAATCTAAAGGTTGTGAATGCATTGAGGACAGAGAATTAATCTCTCGGGTATATGTATTTTTATTATGTGTATTACATATTTTCTAACAGTTTCATATTCATACCCATTTGACAGGAGGACTGGGTTTTATGTAGAGTATTTCACAAAGGCAAGGGAGAGAACAGCAGCATACCTAGCCCACAAAATGTGTTTGAAAGTAGCACAGCTGGTGCCACTTCTCCATACTTGGATGCATCTCCTCCTAATACAGACCAAACCTTGCCTTGTGGGCATCATCTCCAAACTATCACCTCTTTCTCCCAAAGCCCATCACATCATCAAAATCACAACTCTAGCACTCTACAAAACCAATTGACATTAAACCCTAATTTTCTTCAGTTATCTGAGGAGATAAACAATAATCCCACCATCAGTGAAATTAACCCCAAGTGCGATGATGGGTTCGGGTTCTTGTTGGATATGAGTTTTGAAGAAAGCAGCTTGGGAGATGGAGTGCCTCCAAATTATTTAGGGGATATGAGATTTGATGACGATAATAGTTCAGTTTTCCTCTGAATCAAAGTTGATCGAAAATCAGAAGCCCAGTTGTTGATTTGTGATAAATGTTTGGTGTGTGGTTTTGAGGTACAAGTCATGTTTGAGTGGATCTTAGAAAATTTATTTGATGAAGATAGGTATTGATTAGTGTTGTAACTTTGTATATTACAATTGCCTTTTGTTAATGTTGTAAACATCAAATTTTTTTTTTCTTTTTTAAATCAATCATTTTCAAATATAAATTATTAGTCTGATATTTTGCTTCAAGTTGTAGTAGAAAACATTTCTGATCTCCTCCGTGATGGGGGCGATACATTACCATAGGAAACTTCCTGGACAACTGCAATTTTGGATTTTTCTGGGTTTCTGATTTGGATTTTACTCACACTACATCATGGCACCATGTGTAAATATTATACACACAAATCTGTCTACATGCATAATTTTCAGATTAGAATGCTGAACAATAAAATTTATGCATAATAATGGTATATACACGAAAAGATTTAAAAAAATAAATGCACAAAAATAAAAGGGTAAATTACGCTGGTAGGCTCTATATATTCGTCATTATGTTATTTTGGTCCCTATAATTTGAATTAGCTAGATTTGACCCTAAATTTATGATTGTCTCAAGTTGGGACATTTGATTACAATTATTAATATTTTTTGATGAAATATGTGCACATACACTACAAGAAATGTTACTTTTGGCTACCAAAATATTGGTCGCCAAAAGTCACTTATTTAGTTACCGAAACGATTTAGCGACCAAAATTTTTCGTCACTAAGCTCGTCGCCTTTACCCTGTCGGCGATAGTATTGGCGACTAAAATTTGTTTGGTCGCGGAAAGTGTACACATTTGGCTACTAATCTTAGTTTAGTCGGCAAAAGGTATGTTTCCGCCACTAAAGTATTAGTCGTCGAATGAGGCTTTTTGGCTACTAACTTGTTGTGGTCGGGGAAGGTATCACTTTTAGCTACTAAATAATTGGTCGCCGAAAGTACACATTTGGCTACTAATCTTAGTTTAGTCGGCAAAAGGTATGTTTTGGCCACTAAAGTATTAGTCGCCAATAGTTTCTTTCTCTCATTCTCAAATCTTTTAGCTACTAATTATTTGGTGGCAAAAACGTTTTGGGTTATGTTTTTGCTACTAAATTATTAGTAGCCAAAACTTTTGATTACCTATTTGGCTACCAAAACATTTGGTGGCCAAATAATTTTTTTTTTGTTTTTTTTTTTAAAAAAAAAAATTGTAAACAACCTGTATTCATTTGTATTACAACCTGTACCTTGTATAAAACAATATAATCCATCAAGACTAAAATATATTATCAACCATTAAAGCATTCAACAACGTGCACACATTTCAGTTCCAAGCATCCAAAAAAGTAATCTTCAACATCCAATTCTATATATATTACAAATTCCATACAGTCCAAGTTTAATCCAACGTCAATAATTTAAATTCATACATAATTTAAAATCTTGAAGCAAACACTTGAAGTGACTCAAAACATTCATATGGCAGCCTAAAGAATTCTACCACAAAGCACAACCACAACCAGACTTGAAACAATGGCTAAAGAATAACTAAAATGGTCTCTTCTCCGCGATACATTCACCTCTCATATACAAATCCTTTGATAGCGTTGAATTTTTTTTTTAGAACTCATATTAACTAAAGGAGCACGAAAAATGATAGCAAAAAGCCAAAGCCATGAGCATTAGTCAAATGCATCGTCATCATCATCAGGAAGGGGCTGGCTAGCCGTTGTAGCAAGCTCAGCTTCATGCCTGTAAAGAATACCAAAGGGATAAGAAATACCACAAATTGATCATTAACAGCAACTCATAAATTTTCATTCCTGGACTCTAATGTTCCCCACAAGTTAAAAATTTAAGAATTGTGAACCACCACCACCACCACCACCACCAAAAAAGATAAATAAAATCATTGCCTTTCACATCTCCAGTTTTAACTTGTAACCAACCAATTGTCACTAAATTAGTTCCTATGAACATAATTGAGGGAAGACAAGAATATTTTTAGCTATCACATAGTAGCACACAGCTGCAATGGCAGTGCTAAAATAGCTAAGAATTGAACCAACGCTTTGAACAGCTAAGAATATGTAGTTTGAAAGGAAATCAGACGCTAGTCTCTGCATACAAACCATAGCCTCTTCAGTAATGAAGTATTTTGGTGTAAGCTCTAGCAGTGCTAAAATAGCACAGTACAACAAAAACACTCACTCTAACAGTTGAGTATATGTTGTGAAAAATAAACCTGAGCATCAAATTCTTACTACTACACCGCTTGCTCGGGAGAGAAATTAATGAAAATGTTATGTGCCATCAAAAAACACCTATTACACTATCAGTCAAATGCATCCAAAAATAAATTTAAAATTCTTAATCCAATGTAAATGCTCCAAGTTCAATATGTTAGCAAGACCTCAATTTTTAAGCCTGCAAGCTCTATTCAATATGAAGAAATATAACAAACTTGTGTAGGAAATAAACATGTGAGGCTAATCAACCAAGCAAGCAAATAAGTGAACTATTTCAATTAATTAACTGTAATAAAAGTGACCAAAATCTCAATTTTTCTGTAGTTTCATTTTCAGGCTTCCACCATATCAGAAAAAGCTATTACTCACCACACCCTGCTAGCATATATTTTCCATAGTTTCATTTTCAAGTTTCCACTATCTCAGAAAAAGCTAGTCTTCTTACTGTTTCTCAGGTTTCGTACAGTCATTACTAGCTGTTGCCTTTCACCTTCTACCTCTGCAAATTTGAGACTTATCTCTGAATATCTCTCTTGCATTTCTTTCAGCTCTCCTTCCATACATTTGTTCCTTTCCTTCAGTAGTTCCATTTCGCTTAACAATTGGGTAGAACGACAATCATCAATTGTCTGGGAAATGGATATGTTCATCCCTGAGCAAGTTTCTACTTCACTATGAAAACAAGAGTGAATTCATTGTCATGGATGCATGAGAACACATCATTATACCACAAAAATGTATGCATAGGAGCAAAGTCACAATGAAGTAACCTAAAACAAAGTATAGTTAAGGTTGACCTAGTTGCGTATTCTTACCTTTTGACTAGCGCTTTGCCAACTCCATTTTCTTTGAATGTTCCTGTCGTAGAGCTCATCTTTGAAAGCTGTAAAAAGGTATGAGTATGAAAATGTTTTGTGTTAACCGAAAATAATCCATTCAACTTTGAAAGACTGTGTCAAAGGATAGTGCTTCTTGAGTTACTATCTGATTCATATTAGAAAAAATAAGTTTGAGAAGGTTTTGATTGAATAAAATCCGGTCGGATTTTACTGAACTTGAACATGCAAGAGTTTCTCCAGGGGTGTAATCAACCATCTACTTATAACAATTCTAATGTGGAGAAAGTTTCATGCTACTTTCTATTTTTTCAAACTTGTTTCCTAGATTGTTTTCCTTATGTGCTACTCTTTCATGTTACACATTACATAATCACTGTTCCATGCTGAATCAAATTCTCTTTTTAAGCAATGAATAAATTGGTGCGTGCATTTTTGTGCATTTTTGTTGTTTCAAATTTACAAAGTATTTCATGCATCTAAGCAATGAATATGTGCGTGCTCCAGGTGTTTTAAACGTATACTAGTCTAAAAAAAAATTAAAATAATAGGACACGTTTGGACAAGTGTCGGAAAGTGTTCCACATGTTTCAACATGTACACTCCACTTTGCTTCTTCGAATAAAAGTAAACTATCATGTAGTATGATGACACAAGATGATAAATTGGCAAGAGTGATGCCATTATAAATGCAAAACAGATAAAATCAAAATACAATAGATCTATCTGAAATTGAACAGTTTGTATAAAGAAAACATTTTCGCCAACCTGTTGTGCAGAGACAGAGTGTGGCAATGGCAATAGTGGCGGTTGAACTGCTGTAGTAGTAATTGAGGATGACAAATTTGGGGATGCTGAATTAAGGGCAAGCATATCTTTCTGATCAGGGTAGGGGTTCTGTGCAGAAGAAAGAAGAGGCGGCCTAGGCTGTCTTGACAAGATGAAGGAAATGGAGACATGGTTAATCTACTAGCAGTCAAAAGTGAAGGATGAGAAAGTGGAGATGTCTTCACAGACAAGGAGGAAGGCATAATGAAAGAAGTAGGATGTTGTTCTCGGGTAAGAGAAGGTGTAATATTTAAATGTATAGCATTAGAAGTGCTAAGTGAAGATACAAGAGCATCATGTGGATATGTACAAGTGATACTGTATACCTACCATCATGAAGCAAGCTCTGCAGCTGTATCTTGTACTGATATTGTATACCTACCATCACGAGGCAGTTGTAAAATGTATTTGTTGAGAGATTAAATCAAAACATTCAAACAATTACATAAGTTATATTTGATCATGATGTATTAAAGTTTTAGTAATGGAAGATAGAACAAAGGATCAAGTTGAACAACATAATACAAAAGTGATTTTTCAACAAATGATCTGTCTTGTAGTCATATATATTCTACTGTAAATTGTAATTGACTGTGAATTATACCTGTAACACATAATTATTTTTTTAATTTTCTCATGTTTTCAATCACAGGCTCAAATCTACAACGGATAATCAATGATAGTTGTGCTGATATTGATTCTAATATGTCTTCCAACGTCAACAATAATTCATCTTACCCTCTATATGGAAAACGCTACTGTAGATACCCAATTTTTGACCGACCTTGAGACTTAGACGTCACCAGTTGAGCACTCGATGATATTGCATATTGTGCTTGCTCAGAAGTTTCAGAGTCTCGGCTGCGAGCCTTGCCTCTGGACTTCCGGGCTCTTTTGTGCTTTGCCTCGGTTTGCGAACCAGGCTCTGTTTTCTATGTTTTCTCTTCCCGAAGGGAGGGAGAGGTCTCGTAGATCATCTCTCAGTGGCCGTAGGCTACGTTTCGTGGTCGTAGGCCATTTTGCCCGTTTGGAGCTCAGTTTTCGGTTTTTTGGAGTCGTTGGCCGTGTGCCTCGGTTCGGGACCGCTTAACCATCTCCGTTTGCTCCGGTTTTTGGCATACATCTTATTTGCTCCCTTTTGAGGGACACTGTGGTCCGAGAGACCAACTTCGTGGTCGAACACCACTCCCGGTACCCAACAGTCAGTTTTCGGGACCCCGGACTGCGCGTTTCGGCCCCCGAACCTTCATTTTGTATCGGTTTTGGTTCATTTTTGGCAGGGACCTCTGTTT